GTTTGTTGGGGTGTTGGGGTGTTTGTTTGTTTCATGGAGACTCAAGCCTATTTTCTTCATTTCTTTGATCCTTGTTTTATGTTGTATCAAACTTTACAACTCCAACCAAGTCTTTCAAAATTTAACAGATACACATCAAGTGTACTTACATCATAATGCAAGATGCCCTAGTTTGGTACATTTTACAAAATAAGGAAACCAACAAAGTTCTGCTGGTTAATTTTCAGATCAAGTTCTCAAGAAATAACAATGTTAATAACATGGAACCAAACAAAGAAAGTGGTTATGTTTTGTTATATTCTAATAAGACAGACCTTTTTGTGTATTTAGGAATGTCAAGAGGTGATTCCAGCTTTTATGTGGTCATTCACAGAAATTGTTGGGAGATGTAATCTAAAAATCAAACAAGTATCTCTCAGGGGCTTTGATCTTTAGACATAATTGTGGGTTACAATTCATGTACCTCGTGCAGCACCCTGTAAATAGTGGCATAGTTTGGAGCTATTCTGGACATTGTGTATGCACACACTGTTGTTTCATCAAACCTAGAAGCAAGATTAAAACAAAAATATTTTTGAGTTTTAATATCTTCTCTGTTCACAGCAGAATCCTCTGGCTGCATAAATTAATGCCACAATGTAATGGATGGGAATATTAATTTACATGTATTTTTGATTTATTACAACTTATACATTTACTTAAAGTGTTTCTTGAGCAGGCTGATGGATAAATTTTCAACACAGTCAGAGGCAAATGCAATGCAAACAATTTGTCCAGAGAAAAGCATGTCACCGTTAAACCTTTCAAGGAAAGTGTCTAGTGGTTAGTAGAATGGTTCTAACTGCTCACCTGATAGGCTGCCAGTGATAGATATGCCTCCTCAGTTTGTTCATGATGGAGGCCACTTTCTTTTTGTGGTCTTTAGGCAAGTCTTGACTGTGCAACATGTCCTCATCAATATCTGACACAACAGCAAAACAAAGGGGAAAGAAAAGAATTCCACATTAAACTGGAATTAAACCTTGCAATACATCAAGTTTGCAGGTGGGTTATCCTTTGAGTCCTTTGGTACTGTAAATCCCTTATTACATTTGTGCCTGATATTGAGAATGAACTATGATTGACATGACTGACCTTTGATTCAGCTGTGAATGACGTGTGAATTGTTTGTCATCTAACTTGTGGTTGACTTGTAAGTTGACATGTGATGGACTTGTCAATGACTTATGACAAAGTTGTGAATAAGTTGTGATTGATTCATGAACAATCTGCAATTGATATGTGATTCTAACTTAGTTGCAAACATCTTGTAATTGACTGAAGAACTTGTGGTCAAGTGGTGAATGATTGTGATTGACTGGAGTTGTGAATGACGTGATTGAGCTTTGAAAGACTTATGGCTGACTTTTGATTGACGGGGGTGAGTTTAGATTGAATGGTGATTGACTGGGGTGAAGAGTCTTGTTCTCCAGGTAAAGAAAGTATCATTCACCCCCCCCCCCCAAAAAATGCATCATCCTACCCTCCACGCCTTGCAGCTGTGCATACTCCTGAGCCTTGGCCCTGAGCTGTGCTTCTTCCAATGGCAGCTGGCGGCTCCAGAGGTAATTGCTGAGCGCCTTGGCACGAGGTGCAAGCTGTTTCATGGGCTTGTCTGAGGAACAGGATGGTTTTCATGCTTCAAGTTATACAGTTGTGACCAAGTCAACAAAAGTCGGCATTTTTGGTAGTCGAACTGAATTCCGAATTGTGTGACAAGTTTGGTCATTTTCATTGGGAAAAAGGTGATTCAAGCTAGATACATTATGTGAAGAGTATAAAACTGATCTTTTTTCGATTGAACTGTCTGTTCTTATACATGTACTTGGCTGATGCAAAACCACATCATGGAGTTGGTGCATTGAACACTTTTAGATGAAGTACATTAGTCATTTAAGTAGCAACAAAAAGTTTTAGAGATTGGCAAATGCACAGGCAAGGACGACAAGTGGCTTCACTGGTGAACAAATCTACATAGAGCACTTCTTCAGACGCTAAAGAGTTGGAAAATTTCCAAGTCAATTTTCAAAATATCATTTTTGGAAATGGAGAATATCTTGATCTCACTGATTAGTGCTTAGAAATATCACTCATATCAAAATTTGCAGTATGTACACGAAGCATACTGTCAAGACTGTATACTTTGAAATATGCCCTCATGGAATGGAAAATCAATGGAATCTTTTTATTCAAATTTTATCAAAGCTTCAAAGAAATTTGGTGCAGACAGCAGGAGAGCTGTCTTTGAGCTCACCAGCCAGGTATCGATTAAGGGTCTGTAGTAAAGCATCAGGAAGTTTGACATTTTTTGTTCGCATAATTCCTGGATGTTTTCGGAACGTTTTCAATTCAGTCAGTGAGTTGTCCACTGTGGTTTGGTAGTTTGCCACAGTTGCTAACTGGAAATAAAACAAAGAACAAAAAACAAAAAATTAAGCATAACATACAATATCCAAAATTTGACACTGTGATGCAGGAAATCATCCAAACTTGGCTGACTGCTTTCAGTTCTTATTGTTCTTAATTCATGCCAACAATGTACATCACAGTCAAGAGTAGCACAGGAATGACAAAATTAAGCATAATGACTGTGGTCAGGCAGGGACCTAGTCTTCCCATATCTAGTTGTGAATAAAAATATAGTCCTAAAGTCATTGATATGTGATACTTCATAAGACAGTAGAAGCGTAGATCACAACTCAGGGACTGTCCCTAAATGTGGAGAAGTCCCTTTATTTTGGGGACAAAATCAGTTTCCCAAAACAGAGAATGCCCCCCCCCAAGTGGGGACAATTTTTTTAAAGTGGGCTTGGAGATCCTACCATTGCCCTGGGTATTCTTTTATTGCCATAATTAGATGCAGCAGAAAAAACACCCAAGGCTGCCGTAAAAAAAATCCTACCATTTACTTCTAGGATTATGAGCAAGAGTATGCAATTTAGCATAAAAGGTGGGAAAAAGACTGTAACAGAAAAATTGTTTCCAATATCAATCCTTTACATATTGTAGCGTGTCCTACTGATCAGCGTTCCACGCTGGTATAGAATGACACACAGCCGCAACTCGCCGTTTTGGTCACGAAATCTGTTTTTTAATGCTGTCGTCCACAACAATGCATTTTCAGCTCAACTCTAACCATGGCACCTGTCGGCAGGGACTGTGCAGGCGCGAGGCGGGAAAACCGCGGGCTGTTTGCATTACCAGCGCGGGCAGCCAGCCAACTCCATGCGGGTCCGAGCTGGCGCCCCCCTCGGCCGGACCTGCCGGCGCTACAATATACTTAATCTAGAGTAACATGGCGCAAAGTTTATAAAACAATTTAAATATCTTACATGAATGAAAAATGTGGGAGAAAAAAATGATAATAGTGCACGGATATTTTTGACCCTAGTCCACTTGGGAAAAAGGTCCCCTTTTATGGGGACATTCTCTCTTTTGGGGGACTGGTGTTGTCCCCTCTAAATCCAGGGACAGTCTCTGAGTTGTGATTTGCACCTCTACAGCAGGAATGTTTCAACAGACAAAAGACTTTGGATGACAATTGCAATGCAAAACACATAGCTCTACTGCGTGGGGTGTTAGTATTCCTCTTTTTCGAATTTTGGACAGGATCGGTTATATTCAATTACACTGTCATGGCGTTATTTGTGTCTAGAGGCCTACATATCAATTGAATCCTAGTTTTATAGAGTAACTATGCTAGCTGGTAATTTCGCCCCAATTATCAGTATTATTGTTGAGGCATAGCATAATCACATTTGGCATGTTTAGGCCTTGGCCCAGTACAAGTGTAAGAATAAATTCACAATTTCTCTTTCAGTTCAAGCGATGATTAAAACACACAAATATGTTAACAAGGCCAATGAAAGAATGAACTTACCCATCTCTTTACATTCATTATTACACCTGATCTTAAAACGATTCGATGCATTTTCCGTTTCCCGGCAAGCAATCGAAACATGCTGTCCATGGAGGCTGCCATCTTGCTTAGTCTGTTCCCGAGTTCTGCCTGCACCTAGCTGGGCTTCCTTCGCGTAATTTTCATAACAAAATGATGTAGGTAACCAGATTATTGTTTACTTTCAAAGTTGAAAGGTTAACAATTTACATAAACCTCTACTTTGCAGGACGTGCTGGTTCATCGCTAAGAAAAAGAAGAAATCATGAAAATCGTCACCTGCAGAGCTCCTGTGAACATAGCAGTCATCAAATATTGTAAGATATATCTGTAGATAGCATGAAATTGCATTCTGCTAGATTTGACACTTTGCAGTTGCATAAAAATGAAAATATGGCAACTGTGATTTTACCACCAGGCACTATAGACAGCGCTGACCACTTGGTTCGTTCTTCGGTTAGGCTGGAGTGTTGAAAATAAGTTACCGGTACCAGCAATTCTGAGCGTTTTCTCTATGGCTCCTAACGCCTACATGCAACATACATATAAAGAAGATTTTTTCCAGTGTTTCGAAATTTATGAGTATAAACCACTTCACAGTCAAACTTCACTGTCAATTGATCCTGTCATGCCTGTTGGAAGTCTCGGACATTATTTTCTCGTTTCAAAAGAGTCTTTTGAAAATTAAAAAGAACAGAAAGATCAGTCACAAGATCAATCAATTGTGCAGCAATCATACCTAATAGTGTCATGGGCAAAGAACAGGACCTTCAGAAACTAAGGTTATCAATGGCCAAAATCTTATTGGCCACTAATCTAATTGATTTTATATATATTTTGTTTTTAGGAATGAAGGGCTTGAGGTTTTTAAAGGTGATAGGTTGAATGTACCTTGACTGTGCCAGTGAAACTTATCTTTTTTAATCAATGTTGTTTTCACATAAATATATGACTCCAAATGAAAATGATGTCTTTTAACAGATGGTTCACCATGTTCACGTCCTACGATATATGGTTATCATGTAGAATGCGGGTTTACTTGCAGTTGGGGTTTTGTGCATTCATCGCACACTGTTCAATTTTCTCAGTCTTTCTTAACACCTCAGACTCACCAACAGCCCAGAAGAAACCCTGCAATAGATGGAAGAATGTTTGAAAACTGATAGAAAATATCAGAAGAAGACCGATGAATGCAGTTAGATTTCAAGGGTGTCAAAATCATATACACACTACACAGAATTTATCGGATTGAAAAGTGATTGGAAGATGGATTAGGATGATAGTAATATTCATTATAAAGTGTTTGCTTATTTTTTTACTTGATATATGTGATTTTTTTCTATTGACTTGTCCATTTTCAGGGGGAAAGAGAAATGAACAGCTTATCCTTCCGGTCAACTCTTCCCTCAGTGCAACACTCCACATTGATCAGCTCTGCACCAAGACTACTGTGGCTGCAAGCAATGCATTCCAGAGCGACAGAATATGGCTCAATGGAAAGTGAGAACCTATAACTGTCCTCTGTTTTTGAATAAAAATTGCACAGAAAAGAATGCCAATAATGGCTTGCTGACGAATCAGTGTAAAACAAGGCTTACTGTGACAAGTGGAGAACATAGTAAATTTAAAATATGAATAGGGGATATTCTTTCCACTAATAATTTTTATAATAATTATGCTTACCTAGCACTTTCTATCATATCAACGGTCTGAACACACTTAAATATAAAGACATTAGGACCAGCCAAAGGTTAATGTTTTATCCTGTTGTTGAGTTGGTAAAGACATTCAATTCATTTAATCAGAAGGAAGGAGGTCATTGAATGTATTTCTGTTTTCTTTTGAAAATTTATTTACAGGGAACAGTCATTAGACAATCCACGCCTTCAGAAATGCCTTCGAGAAAGTAAGCATGCAGTCCTCACTCCAGCCAACATATTTGGTGGTGTATGAAGAGAATTTGTTCATCTCACATGAAGCATCACATGCTAGCCTAGTATTCAAAACATAACGCAAAATGCGTGACTTGTGGCTGTTAATGTACTATTTTCATATTTTGTGACTCAGTTCGTCAAAGAGCTCGTAAGAGGAAGAGCTCTCCATCCAAGGATGACAGCTCATCAGCTGGGGAAGGAGGCTGTGACCCAGAGCAGATGCTGGACTGGCATGTGCATATCTGCTCAGAAAATAACTTCCCGACGGCAGCCGGACTTGCTTCGTCAGCAGCCGGCTATGCTTGCTTGGGTGAGAAATTTATGAGATTATTAAACCAGGGTTAAATATCAAGAAAGGTAGCTGCAGTTTCTAAATAACCATGGTAAGTGGGACACACCATATTTAGCAGTGGCTGAATTGACCGGCTACATCAGTGCAAGCATCCTATGAGAAGTGGCTTGTTGGCCTCTATAGTCACATGTATTAGTTTCAGCTGTAGCCACAACTTTTGGACAGGGCCTTTTCAAAGTCATGCAGGGAGACCTTCATAATTGCCGAGACTATTAAAAACAGACTTTTGTTTTGGTTCAACTCTGGCCACCAGTTGCATCGCTAGCTCAGGTTTACGGTGTGGAAGGCAATGTGTCTGACATTGCCAGGCAGGGATCGGGCAGCGCGTGTCGCAGCATGTATGGTGGCTTTGTGGAGTGGCTGATGGGACGCAAAAGAAACGGAGAAGACAGCATCGCCAAGCAAGTTGTATCAGAAGACTACTGGCCTGAAATTCGAATCCTCATCTTAGTGGTAAGTTACAGAGAGAAATACCCTTTTTGTCACTATTTTCTTAACTGTTGTGCTTTACTCATATAGATGAACCCAGCGACGTTGCACTGGATTTTTGTAATGGCCCCCTTCAATGGCATTATGCATTGTTTGGTTTGATTTGGAGTAACTATAACAGAGCAATTGTTCCATGGCAGGGGGTCAGTGCAAATGATGAATGAAAGCATTACCGTGACCACTGAATTTGTCTCTATTTGAATTAATCTCTGAAGAAGCATTGGGAAAACAATTTGGCTAGCTTCAGTGTTTCATCTGAATTTGTGAGCTCAAATTATTAACAATTCATACTATGCCCCTAGATTCTTCACCAGTTTGATCTGAAATTGTCCACAACATTCTGTGTGTGAGTGTTTTTTCTCAAGGAGTGCTTTTGGTTGGTCATGTCACATCTCAAACAATGCAGAAGTTGTTAGCATAGGAAACCTGGGCCAAGTGTTACGGAGTTGTAAGCAGAAAATATTTGCACATTTTTGTGCTATGCAGAAGTCAACTCAATCCCCTCTTGTATGCATCTCAAGGCATGTTGGCTGGAACCTGGTTATGCTGTGTATTGTGTAGCTGTGTTTGTGCTAACTACTGGGGCCTATAGAATTCACGCGTAGTGGCCATCTTCAAGGTGCTGTTTTGTCATTCAACTCCTGTAACAATGTAAGCACAAAAGGTTTGTCCAGGCCTGTCTAGTGGAACAAAGATTTTTACTTTGTAGATGGTGACCAGTACATCACAAGTTGTTCCTCCAAAATTTAAGCGACTTGCATCAAGATCAGGCATAATTTTGGACATTCTTTTGAAAAGATGACTTGTAAAATGATTGTACTCAGGTGAGTGACCAGAAGAAAGCCACCAGCAGCACCACAGGCATGCAGGCAACCGTTCAGACCAGCCCACTGCTCAAGTATCGGGCTGATGTGGTGGTACCCGAGAGGATGGCTGCCATAGCAACTGCAATCAAGGAAAGGAACTTTGAATCATTTGCAGAATTAACTATGAAGGTACAAAGCATTTTCTCTGTTAGAGGACATTTTTATTGAATCATGATTTCGTTTTCGGAACAAAAAAGGATCCAATTCAAGTGATTTTTACTTTAGTAGATTTGGAGAGCCATTACTCCCGCCTGATCTTTTCCTCTTCTCCCCCCAAAATTTGACTTCAATGATATTTCTCCCCATTTTAAAGCTGAAAACAGGTCAAAATTACCTTGTACATGGCGCAAGTGGCCCTTCTAGAAGGGCATTCGCTGGGTATGAGTTTCAAGATCACTTCAATTTTCACTTTTAATTGCAGTGTATGTGGTTCTTTCCTACAGGACAGCAATCAGTTCCATGCAGTGTGTCTAGATACCCATCCACCCATCTCCTACATGAATGATACATCCAGAACTATTGTCAGACTGGTGCATGGCTTCAATGCATTCCACAATCAGACTAAAGTACGTAGGTGCTGAGTGAAATAGATGGTAGTCAAAAAGTTGAAGGACCCTCTTTGTTACTGCTGGTTTCTACAATCCTAGACAGAATTGTTGGGACATTTCACAATAGCCATGTGCTCTCCAGCCCCCAGCCCCCCTCATCCCACAGTCAATGTTGTCATGTCCAGCCGGCATGCAGACAGCACGCAAAGACCCAACATTGAATAGGGGTCTGGAGGTTGGAAGCCCAATAAGATTTGGCCAGGATTTTCTAAATTGGTTCACAGTTGTGTATGTGTATGTTGCCTATCATTTCATTTATGTGTACTTCATTTTTTCTAGTTACGTGGTAATTACATTTGTCTGCAGTTTCTATACTCTTGTCTTAAGTGTCTATGGAGCCCCCACTTGACAAGCAATGCTTCTTGGGGTTTCCATCTTTCAACTAAATATGTACCATCATTATCTCTTTATGTTATATGGAGATAAAGTGAAGTGACATTTTTGGAAAGGGTTATTTGCATGACTACTGTTACAGAAAAATCTGTTAATACAAACTTCCTTTTCTACTTCCATCATCTTTTAACAGAATATAGCCCATCATAAGCATTGTTTTCTTCCAAACACTCTTTGCAGGCAGCGTACACATTTGATGCAGGACCCAATGCTGTTATCTTCACCCTGGAGGATGATGTGGAAGAGCTTCTCTCTTTGGTCAATTATTTCTTCCCTCAAGGAGAAGAGACAAACGGGGCTTCTTTCATCAGGGGAATTCCTGCAGATTTAAAGACACCTAGTGAGGTAGTTGGGTTGAAATACCCACCACTGCATAACTGTTCATACCTCAGTCTAGATATGCATTAGTGGTGGCACTTACAGCTGGTTCAAGGTCAAAATGAAAGCAAACTGAAGTTTGATGTCAAAGAAGCATTTGTGTCAAAATTTACAAAACCTGAAATGTGTCCAATGCTAGTAGATACACAGATCATCACCGTATTCCAATATTCCATGGTCCAATTTTCATTTACACCTTTGCATTATTTTTTTCTCTAATAGGAGCTTCAGGCTGCTGTGCCCTTTGACCCCCGGCCCAACAGCCTACGCTACATCATCCACACCAAGGTGGGACCAGGGCCGGCAACTGAGGAGGACTCGTCTCAGCACCTGCTAGACCGAGATGGGCAACCAAAGAACTTGCCCAAGTGAAGCGCTTGTCTTCAACCCTTCTGAAATAGTCCAACTTAATACTCAGGTCTAAAAATCGGATTGCTCTTCATCAGAATCATCCTCGGTTTGGAAATCTTGGACGATAGTGACAACACTAACGAAGAATCAAACTAAATAAATGAAACTTGAAATTTTTGAACCAAGTTGTCTCAAGGCTCATTTTTAACTAGATTCTGAATGATGAAGTTCAAGTTACACTAGACTGTTTACTAGTAAATCTCTTTTGAACTGTAATTCTCTGCAAGACAACTCCTTGCTTTGTATAAATATTCAATGTACTGACAGTACTCCACACCAGAATAAATCTTTCTTTTGTGCAGTTCAATAAATACTTCAGATTAAAATTCAAAACTTGATTTTGTTACAGTTTAGCTTATACATGTAGTTTGTTTCAGCTGGTTGATTAGTTTTAGAGGGTAAGACTGCAGGATTTAGCACATTGCGGAAAGCGGAATTTTCAGCTAAACTTATATGGACATAATGTTGGCTCTAAGCATATGGAACAAATGCTTGTCTTTTTGCCTAGCAGCATTTGTACAAAAATATGAACATAACGGCCAAGATGAGCACTGTTATACTGAGGGCATCCTCTTTGAAAATTTGTATCCTGCTATCATTTAGTTTGTCACTTTTTTGGTTAGGTATCAGGAAACTTTTTAATATGCACTGTTAGACATTACTATGCAAACTGACAATGTGGCCATTTTCTAGAAAATCAGGAATTTCATGCAAAAGTTTATGCTGGTATGTGTGAATGCAACTGGTAGCTTTGGAATCGGAATGAATTGAAGGAAAGTCAGTGATAAAAAATGCTGGTATGTGACATGAATGAATGGACAACAGCACAAATTAAAATATTATTATGCAGACTGCATGTTTACTTTCTCCTTTGGGAACATTTTGAATTTGAAGAATTAACATATCAATAAACTACCATGCAAACATTTTTCGGTATAAAGTACTGGCATAACAGATCATGAAAAACAAGATCAAAAAAAAGATTATAAAAACTGCCAAAGTTTTTGCAAATTATTCCACAATCTACAGTATTGTAAAGAATTTGGAATTACATTTGCAAGCAGATGAAATATTTTGTGTGTGTGTTACATGTAATTTGCTTCAAAAAAGAGAGTATTGGGTAACTTGTGCCTTGATAAGTTGCAATCAACAGAAGTGGAAATCAGACTCGACATAATCACATTTTTTACGAGCTTTCAACTAAAATTAAATGACTCCATTTTCGGTTGAAAAATATGTCTGTCTTTGAATTAACAATGACATTGAATGTTACATAGTGGCGGATGGATCCATGGGTAGCATGCAAGAGCAAAGAAATCCAATTTTATTTTTCGTAAAAATTGTAGCAATAGTGCAATGAGCCTACTGATCAAGGAAGACATGCAAATTGCTGAGTACATCATTTTGTTCCCAGGATCAGATGGTTTCCTGATGGTGGATACTGTGGATCAAAGTCGATGATCTCGTAAAGCCGAGCATAACTAGTAGGAAAGCATATGATGCAAGATATGGGGCGGAGAGAACCTCCCCCGCCTTTGTGTTGATCATTGTTTGATCGGAATCTCAGGAATTCTTTACAGAGTTCTGGGGGGATGTGTTAGGTAACAATAGTCTAGAGTGTGTATAGGGATTGGACATGGGGGGGGGTTACCCATCAGCCCCATATCGTGCACGGTAGCCAAGAAAGACATGACAAGGTACACGTCCTGATCAATCTTTCACATTTATCTTCCATATTGGGGGGGGGGGAGAACGTGCATGTACTTCAAAATGACTCAAAAAATGCATCCCAGTTCCTTATTTTGTACTGTGTGCGTGTATTTGAGGCCAAACAAAAAAAGGTGTGTTTCCAGTTGCCCAACCCAACCTAGAAAATCATGCGGAACCTATATCTTTTTATTCAACAAATCAATAAACTATAAAAACTTATGGTGCCTTGCCCCGAGCCTAATTTGTGTACATCCTGTACATCGTATTGTTTTAAATTTGTTTTGGCTTGAGATGGATGGCCCGTGTGTTTGAATTTCAACAACCAGCTGCTTTACAACTCAATCACAATGCTGATATGTGATATTGACGTTCACATGTACAGCATTAATCTGACACTTAGTACCTGTTACAGATATACACGCCCCCCCCCAAATACCATCATCCGAAATTTAGAGTAAAAAAAACAAAACCACCCCAATTTCTTTTTCAGTGTAATAGGAAACACAACTAATTTTTGTTTGACCTGAGAGTGACAATAATCTGCATGACTGTGCAAGGTCATTAAATGGTCTAGATCATTTTTGCCATCTCAATAATGTCATGAAGACCAATGACAGCATGTCGATGCCTCTCGGCTGATTCAAGGAGGTGCTTGCAGAAACGCAAATAAAACTCTCTCAAATACGCTGCCATATGCCAGTCCTAAATCTCGCTAGCTGTCCAGCTGTAGGCACGGTGATATGTAGGAACGTGTCCTGCCTGTGCTCAGGATTTCTTCCTGCTAGAAGCCATGCGCTGACACAAGTTGATCCCAGCAAGTACAAATTCAAACACACGTTTGTTTCTGTCACACCTCAAATTTGAAATGAATGCTGCCGTGGGATGGGTTGAAGGAGACGTCAAACCGCATCTGTCCCCCCAACGCTACCCTGGGGTTGCTCTTGATGAAATACACTCCCTGTTTTGAGTGCCTGTCCCAGGCTAGGTCTCTGGAAGGGGCAGAGGAGACGGGAAGCTGGGGTCCAGTGGAGACCCAGGTCTCTTGGTCTAGCTGGTACTCCATCCAGAGGGCAACACCATGACAGATACCTTGCCTGAAGTAAAACAAAAATTCAATAATTCCCATATCCACCACATACACAATTCATGGTACTCTACTCGTCTATTTTGGGTCAAAGAACCCATGCAATGTAGTTTTTTCCTTTAACCACTTCCTGCTGGGGATTCCCGATTCGGACACGTATGCTTTATATGCGTGGCCGGGGTCTCTGAACTCGGATAAAGGGAACAGGGCCTTGTAATAAAAAGACCGTACTCGGAACAAAAGACCAGGCTGCTGGGAATAACCGACCTTTTCTCGCTCTAAAAGTGGAGATAATCCAGCCTTGTTTTGAAACAGTATACCACGGTTTGGGGCATTTAGAGAGAGCGGATTACCACCGGGGACAAAAGCGCTCCACCAATTCAGCAATGAGCCACAGAGCACCACTGCATGCTAATCTGGCCCCTATTGAAAAGAGGTCAGCAGCACACTGAGCCAGGTTCATGACCAAAAGAAAGTTATATAACATCGCACAATCTGGGCTCTTTTTACAAGGCTGCAGGCTTGGCTGAAATACTCAGGCATCAATAGATTTTGTCTGTCAGGCTAGAGTGGACACCACATAGTCCTTCATGTGTTTGTAAGTGTCCAGTAAATGAAGATAGGAATTTTTAAAGAATTTTGAAAACAGAAAAAAATGATAAAAATCCCGGCCCAGCATCATCAACATTGATAACCGCTCCGGCAGGAAGTGGTTAATGTAACAATGGGCCACAATTCTGCCCTTCTGGTTACCATTCTATGCTTACATAGCACCGAAACAGAACTTCTAACCTGTAAGCATTAAATCCCTAGTTATTGGATGTAAACATCAATTCAAGCCAGAGTTCCTTTCTATCCTGCGTAACAATCAGCCATTAGCTCATGGAGGAATTCTTTATTTAAGGTATTCCCTGCATTGTGACATTGGGCTCAGCAATTAAAAGACCATCTTGCAGGGGAAGTAATGCTAGTTACATGTAGTTTTTTGTATCTCCAACACTCAACAATAACCGGTTGTCATTATTGATACCCAAATGATCCAAAAGGTCAACTACCCTACAACTGAACAGCTGAAGAGTCTTTGGCCACCACAAATATACAGATATAGCCAACAGTAACACTGTTCAGAGGGACTACCTGCCACTGATTACGGATCTGCGAACTTGCTCTGAAGCACAGCTAGACAAAGTGGTATACACCATTCCCTGAATCAAAGCAGGATAAAGGAGACAAACCAAATTTCAAGATAACAAATGATGTGCCATGGTCAAATGGTCTTGACAGCTTACCCAAGGAATTCAACCATTCCACTGAATGTCCGTATGTCAGTCGGTACAAGCTGAGTGAAATCAAACTCCATCAGCTCAAAGTCTGACGTCAGAGCCTGACCAGGGTACTCCCAGAGGGGATGTGGTTCTGTGGCTTCATCGCTGATGGCTGAAGAGGTCTGGCAGAATGAAACCAAACATTAGAAAGTATACCGTATCTCAAACACTGACAAACACCAAATGGCCTGATTAGTACAAATGCACAGCATTACTGTCCTGGGCTCCAAGGACGGACAAGAGACACTAAACATTTTACACATCAACGATGCCCCTTTGCCAGTGTTGCAGTTGAGTACTGTTTGAATACCTAGTTCTCTGCCAAATACTGAACTAGTTTGCAAAATAGAGCTGAAGAACACGGGCATTGGATAAAAAATGTATTAAGGTAAGTTGACAACATAAAATATTGACTTTGGATCATAACTGTTTAATCACATCATGCCAGGGGCATTTATGAATGTTCATTCTGCTGGGAGGGAATATTTCTCATTTTTTTCTGTTTTCAAAATTCTTGAAAAATTCAAATCTTCATTTACTGGACACTTACACCCACACAAAGGACTGTCTGGTTTCTACTCTAATCTGACAGACAACATCTATTGACGCTGGAGTATTTCAGCCAGGCCTGCGGCCTTGTAAAAAGAGCCCAGATTGTGCAGTGTCACGTAACTTTCTTTTGTTCACGAAACTGGCAGTGTGCTGCTGACCTTTTTTTCAATAGGGGCCAGATTAGCGCGCAGCGGTACTGTGTGGCTCCCCGGTGGTAATCCGCTCGCACTCAATGCCCCAAACAGTGGTATACCGTTTTAAAAAAATGCTGGATTATCTCCATTACTGACATTGAAAAAATGTTGGTAAATCCGAGCAGCCTGGTTTTTTGTTGCGAGTACGGTCTTTTGTTACAAGGCCCAGTTTCCTTTGTCAGATTTCGGAGACCCCGGCTATGCATATAAAGAATACATGCTTAAAACTGGGCTACTCAACAGCAAGTGGTTAATAACAATCAGTTTATCATGAAACTGAGTTTTCAGGGTACCTGCAGTCTTGAATTTATTTTGTAATCTTACCTTTGTGCATGTATCATCAAATGTTGATCGTTTTCTAGCTTTGTTCCCACTTATACAGTTCCATATTTTCCAGCAAACTTGGTACTCCAAGTACTGCACTACAACACACTACTCTTTGCCACAACACACCACATCTGTACATCAAGGTTTGTAAGCATCTTGCCTGGAGTGTGCTCAACCAATTATTGTTATTGGAGTGTATGGTTTTGACATGGTCACCCTGAGCCCATCCTACATCCATCCTGCCACCCTGCCGATGTCATGTGAAGATGAAACAAGTTTGTACACATTCAATTTCAAATTATCTGGGCATACTTTTCACCATTCTCCCACACAACCTAATGCCAACATGCACAGTGTTTCTCCTGTGGTCTAAGGAGAAGGCCATTAACAATTTGACACAAAGGATTCAACACAAGACGTTAAAATTGCCCCAAAACTTTTTCTTAGCCATACCTGTACTAGTTGGTCAAATATCTGCACATCGAATCCCTCCGCGTTATCTACAGGAGCATAAAACTTCCACAAGTGGTCAAATTCCATGGCAACACCTCTCAACCTGGCACGGCACGGCAGCACGAGGGCACTGTCTTTCATGTGCAGGGCCAGGGCTGTCCGGGCGTACCAAAAGTGGAGGTTGTGCCACGGTAGCGTGCTGGAGATGAAGAACGGTTCGCCAATCAAAACATCTATCTGGAGGATACCAAAAAATGTGATTTTTGAAAAACTTTGGTCGCAGCCTGGTACGTGAAAATGTTGTGGTACACTTGTACACCAGACTGGAAAATCAAAATGACGACTTGATGAACAACGGATTGATTCGTCTGTTTCATTAACAAAATCAATAACCATTTCACTCTACCCAACAGAATAGAGCATTCAATCTGTCACCACATGAAATTCTTACCACTTCCATTGTAAACCATTGTTAATCAATGTACTCCTATTATAAAAGAAGTTAGTCTCCATGTTTCTTACTCTATCCACACAGACAATTCGTGTAATTGCTACAATGTCAGACTTAGAGTGCACTTCATTTTTCAATGGTGTACAGGGTTCCTACAGCAATTTGAAAACCAAATTCCATGAATTTTCCAGGACTACAAAATAAATATTTTCATGGTATTTAACACCATGTTGCAGAAATATTTGTTTTAATACTAGGAACTGGGAGACTGCAGACCGACAGGAACAGCTTGTAAATTTATCATTACAGAGTACTCCATTATTCAAAATGGCTGCCCATCAAAAATAACCCTCCAGGATCTTGATGTCCATGACATTTTTTCCTCTGCCTAATTTTCCATAAAATTTCCGTGACTTTCCAAAGCAAATTTTTCCAGGGCTGTGGGAACCCTGAGTGTAATGACAGAACACTAAGCATACTTTCTGGTGACTAAAAAACTCTGAGGGTAGGGCCTGTGCTCCCTTGTCAGCCAAGATGACTTGTCCTTTGAGGTTGTTGCCCACAATCATGTCCTGCAGAACTCGGTGAGACATGGAATCTGGCTCAAGACTATACACCTGAGGAAAAAATAAGACCCAAAATATCTGAAGAACCCAACTAAAACAGCATTTGCTTTCTCGTTCCAGGTTTGAAAAATAAGGAGTCATCTCAAATCTTGCGTGGGACAAGTTGAGGACCAATTGCAGATGGGTGTTGAAGGCTCCTGAACAACTTCCCCACAATCTATCCAGAATGAAGTTATCAGAATTTGTGAACACATTCTCCCCCCTTGCGGTTTTGGCCAGGCAAGCAACTCAAGGACACCTGTGGTTTGGGGGAAAGAAGAGCCACTGGTAAAGGAGTGCAGATTGAATCACTCACTCATTACATAGAGCTTTTTGAAACTACTTAGTTATGGCATGGAGGTGCAAACAGAAGGAGATGGAACGTTATATCTTGACATTACTGCATACTCTGTCTTACATACAATTTCAAAGGGAAAATTTCATTTTTTATTATTTTATTATTCATTTTATTTCATGCTGATGAATCAGATGCATTTGTTCTGCACTTCAACACTGTGTATAGGAAACTTTTCAGTAATGCAATGAATCCAGTGAAAATTTGGCACAGTCGTGAACACCCTATCATGTCTATTGCAGGACACTGCACACTTTCCATATATATTATTCATCGCGCAATGCTTAGCCACCTTACATGTACATGCGGATGTTAAAGTCCTGTGCATGAGCCTGCATATGTCTGTGCATGCAGTGACGGTAACATCACACTTCAGTGCAATCTGATCCAATTCAATTCCTTTTGTACTTTAAGTGCATTCTGTGCACTATCAATGGCACAGTGAACTTCGGTTCAGAAGTCTCCATGTTCAATGATGTTGGGTTTGGTTCGGCGGTTCAGCCGTAGCACCAGTTTAAAAAGCACTGGTTGTGCTCTGCCACATGTATGATGTCATGCAGAGAAGGTACATGTACCTTTGGCCCTGCAGAAAACCAGGGATACCTGCAGTTACCTGTTTGGCTCCCAGCCTTGCTGCGATGAGAGGCAGCATTGATCCGTCACTCACACTGACACATAATGTCTTGTCACTCACAACCTATAGTGGAGGAATTATCAGGAGAAACGCATTTCTATTTTCTAGAGGTTGCTATCATGTGGTGGCAGTGATTGTTTCAGCGTTGTAGTCAAGTCCGTCACAAGTATAGTCACAAGTCCTTTCATAAGACCGGTTGTAAAAATTAACATTGGTACAGGAATGTATTTTCACATTTCATTTGAACACATGTTGCTTGAGACTTGGCTTAATGACTGGTGATGGACTTGCAGACTTGCGATAGACTCAACCACGACACCGAATCTTCCAAAAAGTAGATTTGCATCGCAAAATGGAACACACACAAAATGGTCCCAATAGTCAGCTTCTGAAGTCAGTCGTCTTCCGTACAGTAGTACACATGGAGTCATGAAGATGTGCAAGAAAGGGCAACAATTGAAGATAAATGAATGAGCAAAACCTTTCTCAGAGCCTGAGTGTAGGCTTCTGTCCGGACAGCATCATTCAGCATGCCTATCCGAGGTCGACTCCATGCTACATGTACCCCGCAGTGACAGACGGGTCTCTCGGGGTCGACCCGAGGTTTGTCTGAATGGCTGACGTTGAACCACAGGCTGTAGTCATCGTGAGACAGTGTTAAATGCAGTGTCTCCCCTGGCATGAGACAAGAAACTCTGCATCAAGAGTTTACCACAGTACACTGGTGGTACAGAGTACCAAAGTGTGATATCAAGTACCAAAGTGTGATATCAAGTACCGAAGTGTGATATCAGGTACCAAAGTGTAATATCAAGTACCGAAGTGTGATATCAAGTACCAAAGTGTGATATCAAGTACCAAAGTGTGATAACCAGCTAATTGTTATTTTAACCCCAACCCCAACTCTAGCTCCAATCCCTAAAAACCAAAGCTAACTAAAACCTAACTTAAACTTCATCCCAACCGACACCAAAAATCAACCTCACTGAACTTAAACTCAAACCCAACCAAACCTAAGCTCAGATAGCAAAACAAGCCCACACAAAACCGAAATCATACTTGAAAATCGAAATCAAAACCATACGAGCGTAAGTTTCTCTGTTTCTAAAAGGCAGTTTGTGTCTAACCGGGGAATTATTTTCCACAACTGGAAATGGTAAGATTGCTTTTTTCACTTTCTTGTGGTTGAATGTAACTCATACGTCTGCCAGTTCAACAACTCTTGTCTTACGGCGACTGTATGCACTGTGTCAATGAACCCCATTCTATCCCACAATGCATTTAATCCTCTTGCTTACAAATAAGACTGCAAAAAATTAGAATTTTAACATGAGGTCAGGCAAAATGAATTTAGACCTTTGACCCATCATCACAGGCCACAAAAAATAAACTCTAAAAATTGCCACAAAGAGAAAGTCCCAGGTATATTGATTGTGCTTGCCAAACATAAAAATGGGATCTTGAGGCATTTGGATGGGGGACAAGCTTAAAAGAGAGCAGTCAAAGTAAACTCCATTAAACCGAGTACATATGTTTATTGGCCCTACACAGTTCAACAGGCATTGTGTACAGTTAAATGGAGTTTGAAGACTAAGTAAGTTCAAGTTCAAGACATGGTCACCTCCATAAACTAATGTGCGTGTACAAAATGAATTGGACATTCAATGTTTATCCATTGTGATCATACGCTGCCAGCATGTGTTAGCAGGCTCTCTGTCAATCTGCCACCAACAGTTCCCCTAGGTTTACAAGCAGCAGAACACTTTCAAAGTAGAGAGCATCGGGCATAAGTCATTAATAGGCTGATCCATTAGGCACCATCCCATTACGGGACCTATAAAAAGAATGGGGGGGGGAAACCTCCCAGCTGACAAAATGAAAGGACCACTGGTCCCCCGGTCCTCCCTGATTCCAACACCAGCGTTTACAAGTCCTCCCATGTAAACCGATTAACCTATTGCAAACACAAAAGACAAGAAGAAACTTACCTTTGCATACCTCCAAGGGTTGGTCTAAGAAATAGATTGCCTGCATCCAGTGGTCCCTCCACTGTGCCTCGTCACCCTGGGGATGGACCCACGTGGGTGCGGTGCTCAGCCGAATCTCTCCCTCTGTGTCCATGCTCAGGTCCCACCACATGAAGATGCCATGGCAGACCCCGTCTGACTGCACCGTGCCAGCAACTGTCGCAGTCCGACACGCCGTGAAGTCCCCCTGGCTGAAGTGGAAGTCGATTGCATCCAGTGGTCCTGTGATTGACTTGAACTGGTTTGGTGACACTTGGCTGAGCTGGATGTCGTGAACAGAGGCAGCGCCCGGGCAAGCCTTCATCTTGGCCGGAGGCAAGATGAGTACGTCACTGCTGCCTGCTATGTGGATTGGCAGGAGTTTGTGCCACTTCCAGACGAGATCAGACTGAACGATTTGTGCGCGGATAGTAGCCGAATGGGGAATGCAGAGGCAGTCTTTCTGGGAAATTAAGTAGTGTAAATTTTGCTCTTTATCTATTATTTTTCCAGCCCAACACCAAGTATTAACAGTTCATCCTGGAAAGAAAATCTTTACAATCCTAAGAAACGATCCATAACATTCATATTATGATATCAAAACTCACAACGTCTGTTTCTCATTATAAAATATGTATTCTTAACTTATGCCAAAGTCAATTAGTCTTAAAATAAAGGCTACAGAGCTCCCCAGGGAGGGACGGTGGTGGTGGGGGGAGGGGTAACCTACCTCTAATAAATGACGATGCGCATGGAGATATGTAGGAATAGCCCCCTCACCAATAAGTTCAGTATCAAACACCTCCGCTGGGAGGATATTGGCTTTGTGTGGCATGTCACCATCTAAAAAGGTACAGTGAAATATTACATAAAATGTTGTCAATATTTCCGGTACAGTTTTTATTGTTAAACATGATGGATACATATTTCCAGCAACTGGGCTTCGACAAAAAAAGGAGGAAATTCCAATCTTTACAAAACTTTGTACAGTGTTTTTCAATTTTCATTGGCATGAGTGTAAAGTGAAACATAAGGAAATCAGCTGATCCAAGGAAAAGATGCATGCCTGAATTATTTTGATTCTAAATAAATGTTTTCATTCTGCACTCTGGAATGATTCACCAGGAATCCAAATATCAGATGCTCTTTCAAGCTCTGAATGAACATTCCTGGGTTGGAGACACAAGACCTTTTCAGTGTTTTATATCTTCTTCTTCATTTTTATCTTTTTTCCTGGACAATATAACAATATCTCTGCCTGGGTAATCTCTAGTGTTTCCCTTTTAACAAGGTTCCTTGGTGTTTTTCTTTCTCTCGTATGTTGATTTTTTTTTACTCATTGACTTGTAATTCAGACTAATGTAATGTCTTGATTAGCCATTTAAGGAAAACCATGTTATTATTTAGCCGTATTATGATTTCTTCATGTCTACCTGGCCCCACTATGACCTCCGTTGACCTTTTAGATGTAACGTTGATTCTGTTGGCGAAACCATTCTTAGAGATGATCTTCTTGGCAGCTGTTGCAATTGGTTCAAATGCCTAGCAACACACCAGAAAAAAAAGTGTAAACCAACAACAAAACTGTAACAAGATGTCAAAGTTTGTTTTTATTGGCAAACATTTTGCAGTGGTCATGTAAATGTCACTTTGAACATCAACACTCCATAGGTACATTTACAAACCTGGCAGTAATAATTAACTGTTATTTTTACCCCAGGCCTAACTCTAGCTCCAATTCACAAAACCAAATCTGTCCAAACTCAAACTCAATCTTCAACCTGACCAAAAAATCAACCTCACTGAACTCACACACAACCAAATTCAAACCCAAAGCCAGTGGTAGGAGAAATCGGAGATTTTCAAAACCAGTTAACCAAAATTTGAAAAAAGTAATTATCTGGTTATCCGTTTTTTGTTGACCTTTTGAAAGTGTGAACAACTCACACATCTACCGTACAATTGGTTGTTCACAGGTAAATATTATTTGCACTCAGGAAAAACTGAATCAAGGCGTCTTTTCAATTTGCATAATTCAGATAGGTCATAATTCATAATTGTCACTAAAACAGAGTTTTTGTCAACATTGAAATCATTGTTTGCAGTTTGTCAAACACTATATTTAAAAGTTTATAACAATACATGTACCTTTGACTAAAAGTAACACTGATGGAAATCTCGGGTAAATGCAACTTTTGGGACAAACATTCATGACCAGATTTCTGTAAAACAGTGGGTGGGGCCAAGTTCATTCGGGAAAATAACTGTTTCGTAACGTTCGACTAAAAACTTACACACACAAAATAAATGAACCTGCACGAAAAAGTGGGCTCACGTCATACTTATCATGTTCATAGCCTGGCAAAACAAGTGATAGGCATTAATTGTCAAAAAAAATGCGTATTCCTACAAATTTTTAAAATGAAAGAATATTTCCTGGCTTTTATTTCCACTTTTAAGAAGACTTCACATACAATAACTTTCATCCAGCCACAGTATTGCAAGATTTACACTGCTGTGTTGTGCGCTAGCCATACACAGCATGCAGTGATTGTCTAGAGGGGTAGTTCCAATTGCTCAATTGCGACATCCCTAGTCTTTCTTCCACTCATTTCTCATGTGCCACAATTTAACACTTAGTCGAGAATAATGTTGACAGACCACTGACAGCCAAACGAGTGAATTTTGGCTCATTTCACGTTTTTAAAATCTTGTAATTGACAGCTGTTTTCATGTTACCACCCTCTACGTTTCATGCGTGTATGGCCCATTTTTCTAGAGCATCCAATTGCGACTGAGCTCTCTACATGCACGTGTCAAAACCGTGCACATGCAAAGGGTCTTGCACATGATGGGCACCGTGCTGTAGCTAATTTGACTTCATTGGTTAAGTTCCGTACTGACTCACAAATGTGGCTGTGCCCTCGACAACAACCAGCGCAGGATGGAAAGTGAGTACATGCACTCAACCTTTTTTTTACTTGATGAAAATTGTTCATTGCAACAAGCTTAATCATTTCGAGGCAAATTATTTTGCACATTTAGGAACGTTCAATGTCATTTCCTTCTGGGCAAAAGGAATAAAATTGTCGAGTGGAAACGGATTCAAGCTCAGTTTTATATCCAACCAGGAAATTAGAATTCAAGCCTACTAGGCTAAAATTCACACGCAAAAAATCCATTCAAAATGTCAGTCTTTTTGGATAATTTGCAATGATTCCACTACAATTGTGTAACAATTATGTTCGGTTATGTGCCTTGCCACTACAATTGTGTAACAATTATATTCGGTTATGTGCCTTGCCACTACAGTTGTGTAACAATTATGTTCGGTTATGTGCCTTGCCATTGGGGGCCAGTTCGTCTGTTGTGTTATCATTTGGGCTGGTCTGTTTACGGCGGGTTCTGAAGTCCTATAATTGTGGTTGCAACATTGGACAATTCGGAATTCAAGACACACGAGACATGGGATTCAGCCATCGCAAGGTATCTCAATCAAACTAACAAGTCAATAAACACACACTACGGATCAGAGGCGCCCACTGGCTGAATTGGATTGTGTGATGATGATCGCGATGTGTTTGTATTTACAACCAGCTAGTCTATTTTGGAATCAATCAAAGGCAATAATTGTTGTGGTAAAGTTAGTCGCTCAGTCTTTTTTTGGGTTTCGGGTAACGGTTACCGGTTTTGAAATTCAGATTCAGATTGTTAAATTAAAATGGGAAAACCGAAAATACAGATTTTGGTCCCACAACTGCCCAAAACTAAACCCAACCACAACCCAACCCAACCTAAAATAAAAGTGCAAATAGAGTCCACACAAAACCAAAATCCCATATCAAAACCGAAGCCAAACGAACATGACAAGCCAGAGGAATTCCAAACGTCATACAACTTCAACCAGAGTTCTTGTGCTCTGGCATACACAAGAGTAAAAATAACAGAAAATAAGGTAAATCTAGGACAGGCTGCTGCCTGTATGTGCCAGTAGTGCTTCACAGCATTGACAGATCAGCACATACTTGAGTGACTACATTTTAACCATTAGTGCCACTTAAGCGACCCTAGTCAGACCAATTTTGCAAGATCTCATTGTCCCTCACATTTTGCAGTTGGTTGCAAGTCTCTTTGCATTCACAGTCTCCGTCATCCTATTGCTACATCTGCATGTCAAGGGTTCACTTTGTTCTAAGTTATGAAAAAGGCTACTGATCATTAGTGATGCGTGCATTCCTCAGGGCCTGGTTCCAAAATGGTCAACTAGATGGTCCAACTATCAAGTGTATGTGTAACAACTATCAGGCCACATAAAAAAATAGTTGGTGACTGTCCCCACCGGCCCCTAAGAAATACACCTGAAAAAACAAAAGCAAAAAAAAAACCCAGCCTTTTGGACGCTTCCACATTCAAATTTAGCGACCTTCTGCTATGCACTTTGGAAATATTACTTCCAGAAATGGCCGCTTACTCCCAAACATCTACATGTAAGAAAGCAGATTCATCCAACCTCTACTCCATGGCACAGCAAGATTGAGCCCATGGGAACGAGGTTGAGATTCACCAAACCATTAGCGTATTATTGGCTGAGGTTGCGGCCGCATGCATAAACCTATGGAAAATAGAGCAGCTGGTGAGGCGGCAATCACAACAGCTGAGTACAATGCGGTCACAGTCACAGCATGTAATTCGGATAAGGCCTCGACGTCTGCTGCATGCTGGGTCAATACTCAATAGTAGCGGCCATTCTCTGATACAGATCCCACTTTCGCCTAGCTGTACAACCCCTATCTCCCTTTGTGATGACTGACTTGCCTGTGTAAAACCCTTTCGTAAAGAAGATGAATAAAACTCACTTTATTGAAGAAACTCTTTTATTTAATATTTTCCAATCCAGCAAAGATGTATGTTGAACTGATCACACAAAAAAACGCCCTCCCACCCAAAGATTTTTTTTAAAAAGGACGCTCACCAATTATTTTGTTTATGTGGCCTAATAGTCGCTCAAACTTGCCCGTGGATTGTACACTTTTTTCTTTTTGTGCTTCCCCATAGAGTCGCACACAATTGAATCCTTTGTGACATAATCATTCACAATACTGTACCTCACAAGCATGAATAGAGTCCGCACCACACTCTGCCGCCATCATAGACAGTAGTCCGGTTCCGGTGCCGATGTCAAGCACGTGAGCCTTCTTGCCTCTTGCATGCATTAGCCTGATGGCCCGTCTGATCCCTTCATAGTACTTTTTATTCTGCAAGTAACATAGTAGAAAAGAGATGGGTCACAAAGGTTTCTTTTTTTTGGATCCATTATACACCTATCTATTGTTCTTGCTTCTTCACTTCTTATAGCCTACTAGAGCTGCACTGACGGATTTCCACTGAAGCTCACCAACAAAACATGACTATCTAATGACCTGTCATCAATTCTAGGTATTGGACTGCCAGTGCGCAGGCTACAGTAGAGTGATTGGTAGTGATCCGATTAGAATGTTAGCGTATCATGTGATGTGCACTCCGTATCCAAGCGTGAAAAGACAAAGTACATTGGAGAGTTATGACTCAGTGGAGTGCTGACTGATGAGAAAGTTGTGCAATCTTTCTACACTTGTCTTAACTGTTTAGGAAGGGTCTCTTTCATAATGGTCCAACAAAATGGATATCATGCAGGCATTTAGAGTTATGGAGGTATTCATGTACCTAACAGCCTATTCTCCTCACAGGAATAGTTCTAACCTAGAACTAGGGGCCTCGTCTTTCCACCTCTAAAACATTAAGAATCTTCCTCGGGTGGAACTTCTGACATACTCGCTCATCATCGTGCAGCATATCCGTGTAGGCAGACCGGGCAATCTCCTGATGGTAGTCATAGGTCGAGTCCTCTACTACCCACTCACTGGCTCCCGTCACTGGGTTAACTTTCGATACTAGGACTGACATTGCTGATGCTGTAGGTTTATTACAGAGGCATCGAGAATGGCTGATGAAGGAAACTAATGAAAGACGAGACGCGCAGGAAAGATGGGAGATTGCCGAGTTCATCAAAGTCGCTTCTAATCTGTGGAAGATGACAAGAGCAGATTCAGTTCCAAGAGATTCAATGAAAATAAAACATTATCCCTAATCCCCTAATCTAATTGTGCTGCCACCCTGCTGAATCCAGTGACATCCAACAGCTATGGAAGTGTGAAGCCTCCTGAACCCAACAAAATCCAACAGAAGGTGCCCACAGTTGGATACGGTTGGGTTCAGCATGGTAAGGGTTTAAGGGCATAAGAATTTGTTTGACATGTCTCCTGAACACTTTCTACTCAATGTTTCTTTACTTTTGTTCACAATGAACTATCTCTGTATGTATCTGTTGGGTGCGATTGCCCAATCTGCACGATATCTTGATCCCTCTGTGCACAATCAGTCAATCTTGCATGAAATCTCCAACTTCACTTCCCCTTTTTTGAAGCAATACTTCACAACCATGAATTAGAAAGAAAGTGTGATTGACTGATGGCAAAATTATTGACAAATCCTGCAATATGACATGTAAGACGGATAGCACAAAGATTGGGTAATGCATCGACCCATTACGCTCGATAGAGTCATATCCATAGGCCCTAGTTCATTTACAGGTACATGTACTATAGGTTTTCTCGGCCAAATTCGTCATCTTCCCAGTCAAATTTATTTTTGTCCATTCATACTCCAATGAATTTATTAAGCTGAGTGCTCCCATGTTTCTTTTTCATGTGACAGAGTCTTCCAATTTGTTTACAGGCGTTGAATAGTGTACTGTGACAACTTCAATTTAAAAGTTATTTCATTCAATTGAACAGTACATAACCGTCATTTGATATCGTGCTGGGTGACTGAAATGAGATATTCCTCCTATATTTTCTTCGTTTTCGTCTATGGGTAATCATGTTTGCACTTTGAGCCTTCAAATTGGAGAACTACAGGGTAAGAGGAATACAAACGCGTACGGCAAATTAAGATGCGTAGAGAACAGAAGGGGAGATTACAAAAAGAAAACACACTGAAGTGTGTCCCACGTATTGACTTGAATGTACATGTATATTTTATACATGTACAGTATACTTCAAACAAATCACACACTAAGAATACAGGACATTTGCTCCAATACTGATTACCCATCTAATAAAGATGTAGAAATGAAACTCTCCCTGGACCTTCATCACGGATGCTGACAGAAAAATCCTTTAGATGCAGTTTACTGATTTGTAATTTCTTTATTTTATACACAAGAAACACTCTCCACAGACGTGCATGAATACTAAGATTTTGGGGATTCTCTTAAACAATGGCTCATTTTCCTTTTTTGGTCACAGTTTTAAGTATTGTTTTAACTTTCAAGTTTCATTCTATTTTTATTATCCTTTTTAGACATTTCCCCACTTTGTCCATTTGTGTGATAGAAAGAATTTTACTTTGCATTTTACAGAGATCTCTACCCATGAATCGAACCTTTCTTTTCATAAAATATTTGGCATAAATTGATTACAAAGAAAAAAAAAGATTACAAGATTTAACATTTAATGAATAACACTGCACAAATCTCAAAAATGCTTCCAGATTCACAAAATTGAACACCAAAACACATTTGAATGCTTTTTGCATGTTTTCCCAAATTGAATGCCGACCCTTCACTTTTTGAATAACAAGATTGTGCAATCGCATGCTCTTAGAATGAAATTGAATGATCAGTTCTGCTCTTTGAATGGTGATCTAGATCATCAGTCTATTTCATGCTAATTTGAATGAAACTGTTGCTAATTTTTCGTGAGTGAAGAAGATGGATTCGGCCAGGAAAACCCACAGTAAAAGACTAAAACTAATACGCGCAACTGTGTAGTCGCCAGGTCCCTTATTTTGCACGTAACTGTGAAAAACAATTAGACTTGAAAAAAAGGTGGCAAAATCAGGGACCTGGTGACTTTATATGCTATAATAAGGTCATAAACATTAGTTTAGGCCCTAACTCTATCTAGGCCAATTCTCAATTATCATTTTTGAACATTTTGAAATAAATCTCTTGTTAAGCCATCAGGCGGCAAGTATTAAATTTCCACTTCCAGAAACATGGACAACACTAATTTTCCCTTCAAATGTTATAATAGCCACCTGAAAGTGATAAATTATGTCATGTAAGAAGTGAAATTTAGCTAAGAAAATTCCGAAGTGTTTACTCAGAAAATACTTGGTTTTTTTTGTGATAAGTCTCAAAGGTTCACTTCACTTCACTTTATTTCCATATAATTTAAAGAGATAAAGATGGTACACATCTGATGGTAAGAGACAGATTGTAAAAGAGAGCCACTACAGCCCTATTTGTGGGGCTAATGGCCATAACTGCACCGCCTGGTGCCAAGAACAACAGCTAGGGCCTAGGCCTACAAAGGCGACAAGGAAACAGACAAGCTTTGCTGTATCCATACCCTACCACCCCAATGAAAGTTATGAAACTCTTCAGGGACACAAACGATGGTAGTTTGGGAAGAGTTCCATATACAGTCGCTAGTAACAGCATAGAGGAAGGAACACAGTGACCTATGTAGGCCTGTTACACCCCAACTATAGTTGGGACAGTCCCAACTGTAGTGCTGCAGTTGGGCTGGCCCAACTATTGTTGACCAATGCCTGTGGGAAATATTTCAACATTATCCAAGTCAATGTGTCTCACACTTGACACAATTCATCAATAAATTCAAATGTGGCACTTAGCCCTATGACCAATGACATGACATTTGTAAACAATATGACTTTGGCACATGCTGAGCACATCATGCACACAGGACCTCTCTGCTGTAGTTGGACCAGCCCACCTGTAGCACTCCCGTTGGGACAGGCCCAATTATAGTTGGGGCAGGCCCAACTATAGTGACTGATGCTATAGTTGGGACGTAACAGGCCTATTTCTTAGCCGTCAAAAAGCAGAAACATGTCCAGAAAAGTTCAATTTAGGACATGTAGGAGGGAAAAAACCAAGTCGTTTACTTAGCCCGTTAGAGTTAGAAAACATTTAGGCCTAGGCTAGAATTCTTCAGACCAGTCTCACTGCCAGAGGTGTTTGTGCATAGCCAAGTGGATTATTTTAAGTTGAATAACTGCCTACTACTACTACCACTGCTGAGATAACATATGTCTCACCTCAGTGTCCAGCTGGCCAGCTCCTCCCGCAAATTGCCTGCAACTTAACTGTACTCGTGCACTATCTATGCGACCGCGTGCATGAGTCGAGTATGCGATACGCTGACGCGGTCTTTGGTGCGGTGTACAGTAGGCCTATTGAGGGCGCGCTTGAAGCGAATGATGCTCATATGGATGCAGTCCACTAATTCAAGCGGCAATTTCTGGCAAGCTCATTAGCATTAAATGCGCCCCCGCAGTATCCTTTGAAAAAGGAGATTGTATAACCCCCAAAGTGGTGAGATTGTGTAAATCTTTGCCAGAATCAACTCTCTGGGTCTTTGGGCTTTCATCTGAGAGCAGAATAGCTAAAAAATATTGTTGAAAAATGACTACAAGCAGACTTTGGAAAAATCACTTTTTGGGGGGTAATTTTGTGTTGGGGGAATAACTGAAAATATAATCGGTTAATCCACAGAGAATTGAAAAGAAAGTAAAAGATTATGGACCATACAATATTTTAACGTGTTTCAGATGCCACAGGGATGTTGGTACGCATATTATTAGGCCCCAAACAATGCTGATTTTACACTGTTTTCAATGGGGCCCGTCGTGCGTCGCCCGTCGTGCGTCGCCCGCCGTGCGTCGCCCG